AGGTTAAAAAAATTTTATATATATTTATATATATTTTTTTTAACCTCATATGGCCCATTGTTTGTCTTGATTTGAGCAATTATGTCCCCCTCTGAGGCAGGGATATGCTAACTAGGCAGTAGAGGCAGGTAAATTTAACTAAAGAAGACAGACAGATTTCACTCAATTATAGAAGTATTGATTCAAACAATACAATCCAGAAACTGGCAGAAAATGATTCCTGGTTGTTAACAGGAATAGCAAAGATTGAGCAACAATTTTCTGGGGAGTTTACAGAGTAATATAGTACTTGCAATAATGAATACTGAAAATTGCACAGCAAAGTAAGCAAAGATTCAAGTAACAACCCATCCTATATGGAACAATTTTCATTAACAAAACCAGTATAGATCATACAAGCAACTGGTATCCAAAGGATTAGAACCATACCCATTTATCAATATTCATGAGAAGTATACTGTCTGTATCTTACAGATAATAAATGCTTACAGTACATCAAATAAATGCTGACAGTTAATACAGGCTGCCATTGAGTAAGAAAGCAATAAAGCTGAAAAAGCTCTCTGTTAGGGTTAAAAGTGAAAAAAATCACAATCACTTTTTGTATATGACATAATTTTGTATATAGAAATCTTAAAGAATACATTAAGAAACACTAGAACTGATAAACAAGTTCAGTAAGGCGCAAAATACAAGACAAACATGTAAAAATCAACTACATTTCTATATACTTGCAATAAACTATCCAAAAATGAAAAAAGAAATTCCATTCACAATGGAATCAAAAGGAATAAAATACTTAGGAATATAGCTGGGTGCAGTGGCTCACGCCTGTAATTTTAGTGTTATGATCACAGACAACAAGAAAACAGTTGAATCCCACAAATTTCAAGACAGGCTTAAAAAATAGTACTCTTGGCCAGGTGTGGTGGCTCAGGCCTGTAATCCCAGCATTTTGGGAGGCCGAGGTGGGTGGATCACTTGAGGTCAGGAGTTCAAGACCAGCCTGGCCAACATGGTGAAACCCCAACTTTAAAAAAAAAAAAAAAACACTCTCTATTTAAGAAAATTGTACTAAGTATTTCAAATGTCATTCTGCAATTACTCTGTGATGACTTACAAGTAATGGCTCTGAAGGTTTAAATGAGGCAAAAGCATACAAGCACTAGGTAAATTGTAATTTAGGGTAAAAGTCTTCACGGAGACTATAAAAAGGAAGATGTTTATGTCAAGATTTATCCAACACTGTTCTACAAAGAGAATAACGTTGTTCTGTTTACTAGAAAGTATATTCCATATACTAGAGGGGTAAAGGGCTTGTTCATAACCTAGATGAAATTTCATCCAAAAATAATTTAATACCATTTTCATTGACTGTGCTTACTAATAGCCATCTTTTTGTTTTTGAGATGGAGTCTCGCTCTGTCACCCAGGTTGGAGTGCAGTGGCGCGATCTCTGCTCACTGTAACCTCTGCCTCCCAGGTTCAAGTGATTCTCCTGCCTCAGCCTCCTGAGTAGCTGGGATTACAGGCGCACAACACTATACCCAACTAATTTTTGTATTTTTAGTAGAGACGGGGTTTCACCACGTTGGTCAGGCTGGTCTCAAACTCCTGACCTCGTAATCCAACTGCCTCAGCCTCCCAAAGTGCTGGGATTACAGGTGTGAGCCACCACACTCAACCCACTAATAGCCATGTAATTTTTTTTTTTTTTTTTTTGAGACGGAGTTTCACTCTTGTTACCCAGGCTGGAGTGCAATGGCGCGATCTCGGCTCACCGCAACCTCCGCCTCCTGGGTTCAGGCAATTCTCCTGCCTCAACCTCCTGAGTAGCTGGGATTACAGGCACGCGCCACCATGCCCAGCTAATTTTTTGTATTTTTAGTAGAGACGGTGTTTCATCATGTTGACCAGGATGGTCTCGATCTCTTCACCTCGTGATCCACCCGCCTCGGCCTCCCAAAGTGCTGGGATTACAGGCTTGAGCCACCATGCCTGGCCAGGTATGACTTGTGATGGAGGCAAAAAATCTGTTTGTCTTCTCTATCAAGGAGAGTAATCCACAAACTGTAAATGATAGCATACCTAAATTTTTCAAAGTTTATTTCCATATTTATAAGCAAGCGCCTCAGTTATTTAAAATAAGTTCTAACCCTCCAGACTCATGGAAGCTTTATCCCATAGACCTGTAACTTACAAACATGATTGCTAAACCAGTGTTTATCATCTCTGAAAAATCAGAGAATAAGAGAGCTGCCTGAAACAGAATATAAAGAAATGAGGCCAGGCGAGGTGGCTCACACCTATAATCCCAGCACTTTGGGAGGCCAAGGCAGGCAGATCACCTGAGGTCAGGAGTTCAAGACCAGCCTGGCCAACATGGTGAAACCCGTCTCTACTAAAAATACAAAAAATTACCCGGGTTTGGTGGTAGTCCCAGCTACTTGGGAGGCTGAGATGGGAGGACTGCTTCAGCCTGAGTGGCAGAGGCTGCAATGAACCAAGATGGCACCACTGCACTCCAGCCTGGGCAACAGGGTGAAACCCTGTCTCAAACAAAATAAAACAAAAAAAGAAATGTTTCACTACTTGGTTGGTTTGTTTGTTTTAATTTAAAGGTGATGGCAGGGAGAAATTAGGTGCTGGAAACTATAAACTAGTGCTAATTTAATGCTGACTGATGACAGTTTTCTAAAACATTACAGTATTGAACAGATTCCTTTGTAGATATCTAGAAAAGGATATGACAATCACCTGGAGCTATTATATATTTTCTCTAAGAACACTCAACTCAACATTTTTATTGATAACTTAAAGATTTAGGCTATAAATAGGTAAAGTATATGACAGAAAGCTGGAAGGAATAAGATTTATAAAGGTATCAAAGGATGATAATGTTACTTCTTCAGGGACTCTCTGTGTAAACTACAGTGTGAGGTATTTCTTTTTTTTTTCCTTTTTTTTTTTTGAGACAGTCTAGCTCTGTCACCAGGCTGGAGTACAGTGGCACAATCTCGGCTCACTGCAACCTCCCACTCCCTGGTTCAAGCGATTCTCCTGCCTTAGCCTCCCGAGAAGCTGGGATTACAGGCACATGCCATCACACCCAGCTAATTTTTGTATTTTCAGTAGAGATAGGGTTTCACCATGTTGGCCAGGATGGTCTCAATCTCCTGACCTCCTGATCTGCCCACCTTGGCCTCCCAAAGTGCTAAGATTACCAGCATGAGCCACTTCGCCTGGCTGAGATATTTCTTTTTTTTTTTTTTTTTTTGAGACGGAGTTTCGCTCTTGTTACCCAGGCTGGAGTGCAATGGCGCGATCTTGGCTCACCGCAACCTCTGCCTCCTGGGTTCAGGCAATTCTCCTGCCTCAACCTCCTGAGTAGCTAGGATTACAGGCACATGCCACCATGCCCAGCTAATTTTTTGTATTTTTAGTAGAGACGGGGTTTCACCATGTTGACCAGGATGGTCTCAATCTCTTGACCTCGTGATCCACCCGCCTCGGCCTCCCAAAGTGCTGGGATTACAGGCTTGAGCCACCGCGCCCGGCCACATTTTTTATTTTGTGTAGAGACAGGGTCTTGCTGTGTTGCTCAGGCTTCACCTTTAGGTTTTTTTTTTTTTTTTTTGGGATGGAGTTTCGCTCTTGTTACCCAGGCTGGAGTGCAATGGCGCGATCTCGGCTCACCGCAACCTCCGCCTCCTGGGTTCAGGCAATTCTCCTGCCTCAGCCTCCTGAGCAGCTGGGATTACAGGCACGCGCCACCATGCCCAGCTGAGATATTTCTTATTCTCAATCCATTGCTGTTCTTTATACTCTATTCTCCAAGTAGAGGCTATACAATAATCAGTCAAAGGATCCTCTCATCTGTGGATAAGATTCTTGCATTTTGGGAAGCTGATTTATAGTAATATAACAAAATTATTTACAACTCAGTTGAGGATTGATTAGCAATAAAGGGAAGGGGAAATAACCTGAAGTTAGAATTTATTGCATTGTGAGTTTTCTAAACAAAACCTTTTTCGGGCAGCAGGGGGACACGGAATCTCACTCACTTTGCTATCCAGGCTGGAGTACAGAGGCACAATCTTAGCTCGCTGCAACCTCCACCTCCCGGGTTCAAGCAATTCTCCTGCATCAGCCTCCCAAAGTAGCTGGGATTATAGGCATGTGCCACCACACCTGGCTAATTTTTGTATTTTTAGTAGAGATGGGGTCTCCCCATGTTGGCCAGGCTGGTCTCAACTCCTGGTGTCAAGTGTCCACCCACCTCCGGGACCCAAAGTGCTGGGATTACAGGCATGAGCCACTGAGCCTGCACAAAATCTTGAGATAAAGCAAGCAATTAGTGGAGAAGAGAAGGGGTAATTCAATAAGGAAGAACAAGCAAAGAAGACAATGGGATTAAACTAACTTCAATAATAATGCCATTAGTAACATCTCTAGGGTTAAAAAACACTGGTTTTATTAATCATCAACTTGGGATGGGACCATTCTTTCCACTCATATTTTAGATCTCCATTACAGCCTGTGAAAAGCCATTTTTTTCTTACCTAAAGTGTGTCATTACTCTTCCTGTTCTATTTTAAACATTAATCAGTGTTGTATTTTCTTAGATTCTCTATTTGTCTATTTGACATCCATTAATCACAGAGCCAAACTCAAGGCCAAAGTTGTTTTTTATCTCTCCTGAGATCCAGTGCCCATACTCTGAACCACCTCCCTTACCTAACTCTCACACACTAAGCCCCTATTTCTCCTGCCCTAAATCATAAATCAACCCAGGACAAAGTACCACCAGACAACCAGGAACAGCCCCTAGGTCACAAAGCCTGACAGAATTGTTCAAACTAGTCAACCCTAATCTGTTTACCCTGCCTATCTTGCTTTTCCTGCAGAAACCTCAGTAAGTCTGTGGCTCACAAGGCGCCTTCCTCTCACTCTTTCCGCCTCCTGACCAACAGGGTACTTCCCCCTATGTGGTATGCTATGCCTCTTGTTTCAAGGGGAACTATATGTAAACACTAAACTTGTCTTTCAATGATACTGACCTCTTCATGTCATCACTCAATCACCTCTATAAATTAAGATTTGGGCACAAATCAATAAGAAAAAGATGCCCCATGACAACCATTTATAGTCAGCAGAAATTTTGGTTTTAAAGTGCTTTAATTTCTTACCTTTCTCTGAAGTAACAATTAGGTTTTGCACATCATATTACAGAAGTTCAACAAAATGACAAGGAAATGAAGCAGAGAAGAAGAGACAGACGACCTGTCAGCAGGTCAGCCTCACAATTCTCATTACCTTAAATAGGTAAGGAGTAACTAACAACAATACCCATATTTCAACAATATGTCAATACTTACGTAAGTCTTTTGAAAATACACCTAGACCTTTGTCTTACCACATTAAAAACTCAATGACATAATTTACCTTAGTATATTTAATATCTACAATTCAGCTATTTGTTCCAATAGTGTAAACCTTATACACATTCCTCAAGATAATTTTAACCCTACCATTTCCCAGATTATTAAAGTCCTACCAGGGATAGGGGATCACATTTCAAATGTTTGAAAAGGTCTTTTACCAGTTGCTAATGTCTTCTTAGTTTTGTACTTACCTCAACTGAAGGGGTTAAAAGAATAATGACAAAGTAATCATCAATATACATTTTTTAATATAAAGAAAAATATTAAACAAATATTGACGTACTTCATTTAAAAAAATAAAAATAAATAAATTTTAAAAAAGGACTTTGTAATTTAAATGGGAACTAGTACACCTAAAGAATACATCTAGAACATGAAAAACTTATTATTTGCTTTCAAAATTCAAATCTTTCTAGGTTAGATTTTCATATCACTGTATCTTCTCTTAATATGAAACACAAGAGGCCCACTCAGGACAGCATATTGAATCAGTAGTTATGAAACTTCAGAAAAAGAAACTGGAAAAGGAAAAGACCCTTCAGCATAAAAGTTGTCTTAAAAGAATGACACTATTGCTTTTGTTTTTTTAAATATTAAGGGCCAAAAACCAAAAAGAAGATAAACCCATATCACTTGGGAACATTTAAAATTATTTTATTATGTTAAATATTTAAAATAATAATTCAAAATAGTCTGTAGGGTTTTATCTACAGTTTTTAAGAATTAGCTAGTGGTCAAATTACACCTTCCTCACTATACTACTACTTTTTAAAAAATTAACTCAATTAGGGAAATTCAGGTAAAAACAAAACTAAATTTTCTGGTAGAAATGGTGATATACTGTCAGACCAATAAAGACACGTCCTCTTTTATTTTCTAAAAAACTGTAACACTAGCCACTTATTTTTTTAAATGACATTTCTAAATATAATATTTATTTTGTAATACTGAATTTTCTAAACAGCCTCCTTAGAATTAAGTCAGCAAAATATAACATTGTTTTCTTGGAAGAAAATGATTAAGGAATCTTTTCCTTATTTTAATAATAATGAAGATCTCTGAAGATTAGCTCTTCTCAATCAACTTTAAACTGCAAAAGGAAATACTTACTGGTTGCTCTGGTAAATCTTGCTCTTCTTCCATGAGGACTAATATTTCTTTATTATGCTTATGTGACTGGATTGCAAGTCTCTCTCAGCAGTCCTCACAATCTGTTTTTAAAAAGGAAGATTCAAAGCTTTATATACTCTTTAAAGTATTATCATTGAGGCCATCAGAGAATAATTTTTTAGTATTTTGCTACCCAAGCTTTATACGTGAGTTCCAATCGCAAAATCTCAAACCAGCACGTGGCTTTTCAAAAATGACATGCTACACCAAATCAAGATAGGTGTATACAATGACTTTTATAATACCTTGCAAAAGCCAACATATGAAACCACTTCTGCTGGTTACTATGGTGCCTAATGCATTAAACATTTTACAATGACAGCTATGTGCAGATAATAAAATAATTTTTTAAGGACTAGAATTACATTAAAAATGATAGAGACTGCCCTAGCAAGTCACCAAGTTATGATAACATCTAACCTGCTTTAATGTGGAGCATTTACGTAACTGTTAACACAGACACACAGAATCACTTTAAATAGGACAAACCGGATTCACAAATATATGTCATCAATTTAAAGGAAAATTCAATTCTTCTCTATCTCAATAATAAAAATAAAAAAATACAGTGAAATCTTGACTTTTAGAACTAAGGAAAATAATCATGAAGAGCTAAGACCTAATTTGATTCTGAAATAATAAGCTTCTACTAACTGTGCTGCCCAGTCAATTATTTAAGCAAAATCTTTACATTCTCAGATTCTGCTCTTCCTGTCCTGATTTTCAAACAAAAAAAGGAAAAACAGGATTCTAAGTCCATCTTACTGTGCCCTGCTGACAGGAGACAAAAACTAGAAAGCTGCATACATTACACAAATGAAATACCCCATTTCTAACAAAAGTGAAATAAGCACTTCTCCCAAAAGATGTGATTGCTTGTACATTTAATTAAAGTCACAGCTGTTTTCAATTTTTCTACCAACCACTGTACCAACTCACATATAAAGCTAAAGTAAGTATACACAATCTTATTACAGAAGTACTGAAAATAGACAAATACCATGAAAAGGAAAACAAAAAACTTGTTATGCCAGTATACAGCACCACTCTATTTCTATTACTCTGTCCGTGCAATGCAACACAACTTTATTTTAGAGTCACACTCCAGAATGTGGAGAGAAAACACACATGAGGGCTACAATTAGATACGAAGTTGTCCAACTCTAACACAGCTTTACTCCCTACCCCAATTTAGAGTATCAAAAGAAAAAAAAAGTTTAAAGGTCAGAAGCACTTGATGCCCAGTGCACTCACGTGTAGCTCATACACAGACCTCAAAAGCTAAGTTCTCCTACTACATGACGCACATAACTAGTGATACAGAATTACAGAGTACAATAAGTAAAGCTCATGAGCTAACTTCCCTGTATTTCTTTTACTCAACTTAGAAGAGCATAATCAATGTGACTTGAAACTAATTCACAACTATGAAAGATGAAACATTTTTTGTTTTACTAGTTTATGTCTTAGTTTCAAATTGAAATATCCTTTCAAGGGACAATCCTTTTCATTTTAGTACTGTCTAAATGTACATTAAGTACATATACTATTTCATCCAATTTGAAACAGCAAAATAGGACCAATCATTAGGGAAATGTAAAACCTTCAATGCCCCATTTGTTGAATTTTTTTTTTTTTTTTTTTTTTTTTTTTGAGACAGAGTTTCCCTCTGTCACCAGGCTGGAGTGCAGTGCCATGATCTTGGCTCACTACAACCTCTGCCTTCCAAGTTCAAGCAATTCTCTTGCCTCAGCCTCCCGAGTAGCTGGGACTACAGGGGCACACCACCACGCCCGTCTAATTTTTGTATTTTTACTAGAGATGGGGTTTTGCCATGTTGGCCAGCCTGGTCTTGAACTCCTGACCTGAGGTGATCTGCCCACCTCAGCCTCCCAAAGTGCTGGGATTACAGGCATGAGGCACCACGCCCAGCCAATTTGTCGATTTTGTGTGTGACCAGTTCTCATCTATACAAAACTTACATTACATGTTTTCCCTAACTGAAGGCCACGACTGTAAAAACTACAATCTCTAGTATATTCTCAGCAAGGGAGATGAAAGGGATACCCATTACATCATGGAGGAAGGGTTATAAATTTCATCTCTGATAGGAGAAAGGTAAGAATAAATGTTATATACATATATATATATATATATATATATAAAACATGTATACACACTCAATAATGTGGTTTAATTTTGTTTTCAAACACAAAAACTAATTTATTTTAAAAATCTGAATTACAGGCTGGGCACAGTGGCTCACGCCTGTAATCCCTACACTTTGGGAGGCCAAGGAGGGCAGATCACAAGGTCAGATGATCAAGACCAGCCTGGTCAACATGGTGAAAGCCCGTCTCTACTAAAAATACAAAAATTAGCTGGGCGTGGTGGTGGGCACCTGTAATTCCAGCTACCCAGGAAGCTGAGGCAGGAGAATCGCTTGAACCTGGGAGGCCAGGTTGTAGTGAGCCAAGATTGCGCCACTGCACTCCAGCCTGGGCGACAAAGCAAGACTCATGTCTTAAAAAAAATAAAAAATAAAAAAATCAGAATTACATTAAAGAAGAACATAACACTATTTACAGGTCAAAAAGGGTCATAGGTTTTAAAAAGAAACAACTTTATCAAGTTGAATAATGAAGAATCATTTTTAAAAGAAAAAAATAGAAACACCACTATAAATGGTGGGGAAATAAATTATCAATAAATGTTAAAATATTGAAATTTTGCTTTTTAGAAATATGGTAAGATTAAATTGATTTTAAAATAGAAAATGAGGAATCTCCTATTTCTTGACATAAATCCTGTAAGTTGCAAGAAAACCTTCTTTAAGGGAAATATTTAAAGACATTCTACATCTATTCTTTGAAAATAAGCATGCTTTGTTGTTTCAATCTTTAAAATTCCCTTTGTCTTCTCAGCTTTTCAATCTAGGAGAATAAAAAGGACACAAATAACTTCTAAATTTAGAAGAAAAGAACTGGCCAGGCAAGGTGGCTCAAGCCTGAAATCCCAGCACTTTGTGAGGCCAACATGGTGAAATACCCTCCCTGGCCAATATGGTGAAACCCCATCTCTACTAAAAATATAAAAATTAGCTGGGTGTGGTGGTGGGTGCCTGTAGTCCCAGTTGCTCAGGAGGCTGAGACAGGAGAACTGCTTGAACCCAGGATGTACAGCTTGCAGTGAGCCAAGATCGCTCCACTGCACTCCAGCCTTGCGATAAGAGCAAGACTCCGTCTCAAAAAAGAAGAAAAAAAAGAACTTTAAAAACCAGGCTTGCTATCTCAAAATAACTGGTCAACAACCACAAATAATTTTGATCATTTTAAAACAAAAAGCTGCCTACAAGGAAAGAATATGATATATAAATTACAACTTCTGGGATTCTACTGGCAACATATGATGTGTGGGAAGTTTGCAAACATACATTCAGGTACATTGTGTATAAAATGCACTAATGACCATAAATTACGTAATTCTAACAAAACATGCATCTAAATACTACTTTCCGTCAATATGGTATTCTCCTACCTTCCAATAATTTGTAATCTGAAAGACCTGAAATATCAGAACATACTAAATATAAGAAAGCAAGTGTTCATCACAGTTCCAGCATCTATCAATGTTCTAAAGCTTTTATTAAGATTTCATACCATTTTCCACAAGTAGTACATGCTATACAATCAAGGCATACCTATAGAAAAAGACGAAAGTACAGTGTAACTGAGACAATATTGCAAAACTTGGTAATAAAAGTACAGAATTACTGTAAAAATCTTAGTATAGTTTCCCTGTATTAGTTCTAGAATTTAATGGTTTTTTTTTTAACCATTAATATAACCTGACATTATTTCATATTCAATGAGATTCATCTTGTTTTTTTGTTTTTTTTTTTTTTTTGAGACAGTCTCTCACTCGGTCGCCAGGCTGAAGTGCAGTGGCACAATCTCAGCTCACTGCAACCTCCACCTCCTGGGTTCAAGCAATTCTCCTGACTCAGCCTCCCAAGTAGCTGGGACTACAGGCACATGCCACCACACCTAGGTAATTTTTGCATTTTTAGTAGAGACAGGGTTTCACAATGTTGGCCAGGATGGTTTTGATTTCTTAGCATCGTGATCCACCCACCTCGGCCTCCCAAAGTGCTGGGATCACACTGAGCCTGGCCAAGATTCATCTTTTATAATACCAAATAATACAACAGTTGTGAGACAGAAGTGGAAAGTAGATTTTTTATGTAATTAAAATAAACATAATTAAAACTTAGTCAAACACCTGATTTACAAAACATGCCCTGAGTTAATCTTTTAAGTGCCTTTAGAACATTTGGAAAGTAATGTCTTTTCACAATTTTCTAATTTCAATTCTTACTACTGGTTTCTAAATAGACTTGTTTTATCACCTTTTTTAGAAATACAGCTTGTCAGTATTCATTTGCCTTCATGAATAGAATTCTGGGAAAATTTAAAATTTAGACTAGAAATAGTATTTCCTGAGGCTTTACATTTCCCTACCTGTGAATGCTGACAATAAAAAAATAGAAACTTTGGTTTGATCCAAGAGCCACACAATTTTTAATACTATTGATTTCACATGCTCAAAAATAAAAGCAGGATCCTTCTGTAATATGCCGGCCATAAATTTTATTTTTACTCTTTAGAAGTTAGAAGGAAAATAATTAGGAACAAATATTTTATTTCAAAATTCTAATTAGATTCCTACCTCAGAGTTTCTGTTTTGTTCCAAGCTCAACACACTACATAACCTGTAAATGTAAATGGCCACAAGCAAGAACTTAGGTTTCTTCTATGTGTTATCATAGCTCTGAGGCTTAGGAAAATAAATACATATATGTCCGTTTGTGTGTATGTGTGTGTATGTGTTTAAAAGCACAGAATAGGCTGAGCATGGTGGCTCATGCCTGTAATCCCAGCACTTTGGGAGGCCGAGGTGGGTGGATCACTTGAGGTCAGAAGTTTGAGACCAGCCTGGACAACACGGTGAAACTCTGTTGTTTAAAAATACAAAAAATTAG